CGGTTCGGTCCTCTCCCATCGTCTGCATCTGGCAGCAGTGGTGAATGAGGCCTTGCAGGAGCTTCCGTCCCCCCCCCCCCGTCCGAACTTTTGTGGATTCTTCGGATTTTGGTCGTCCGGGATAGCGAGGTGCGGCTGCACTTGTACTAATACCACAGCCGGCATATAGGCGCGGAGGTAAGGACGAAGCATCCCAACTGCGAGCATGATAATGAATGGGTTGTGCTGGTGGAGAAGAGAAATCCCACCGGCATTTTGCACTCCATGACGCGGTATAATTATCTAGACAGTGGATGATACTTCTTGGTCAGTGAGGCACACCGACCCCCAGGTTGTCCTGAATGACACCTAGAGTCTGTAAGGTTCTAGGTGCCGGTAGTTGGACCGGCAAGTTAAGCCACTTTACCTCAACCACACACAGACCTATTAAAAAAAATAACCCCTTGAACTACAAGTACTGTACAATACTGTACTCGAGTACAGCACGATCGGCATCTACAGCTACCTAGAAAACCCTTCACGAAACAGGATTTCTCTTTGCCCGTGGAATAGCCCCTCACATATACCGGCCCTACTAGTGCAATGCTCCGTAATTCCCATCAGGGAGCTACGACGCCGTTTCAGGAAGGCTTTTGCCGAGTGACTATAAGCACAGGTGTGCGTCCGGAGAGGAAGGAAGGGGACCTCTTGTACTGTATCTCCTATCTGCAACCGAAGCTATCATATATCATATAAAGGGGACTCATGATCGCCAAGTCCTGCTTTTGGCCCACCCAGAACCCTATCAACCGCGAGGGCAACCACTAGTACTACCATCTAACAGTGACTGCATCACCGTATACCGTAAAATCTCGGACAACTCTCTATCTCCGTCGGGCCTCTAATCTCCACGGTCGCAGTCGGAACGCCTCGGGAGGGAATAGTGTTTACCTAACGGGGTACCACTTGGGCGAGGTGAACTTCCTGGATCCCATCAACTGGCTTTCGGAATTTGGTTAAGTTGCTCAGCCAAGGCTATTGCACTTTAGATATGCTGTTTATTTGATAGGGGATACCCGTGTAGACCGCTAGTATTGTTTTCGGATGTATGGAAAGATAGCGTTGGCATTGAGGGATTTGGTGGGACGACAGAGAAATGGGGAGGGAGGTTACCCACAATGCAGGGGGGGTATTACACTTGAGGGATTGTGAGGTCCCCATCCACCCTACCGGTATTAGCATTTGTAACAATGACTACCTGCGGTAGTTGGCATATGTAAAGAGGATTATTCTCCAGGACCCGCATTCGGGGATGGATATATAAAGCCCAGAGCTTCTCGTGTTTGTTTTTTTATGCGATCACTTTTTTACAACAGAGCTACTATCTGGTCCGAGGTAAAAGCCTCTACTGTAGTGCAGTATGATCAGCTGATCTTGTTGCGGGGTGTGATGAAGAACGCTCCGACTGAGTGATATCTCGAGAGTTGGCTGCGTGGCTCGGCACTTGCTGTGTTGGGTACTCCACCGCACTTTCAGCATTCCTTATTTACTATCGCACCAAGATGGCTGTTTGCTACGGTGGGGCCTGCGCTTCAAGTTACCGCCTTTCCCACCATCCTTATCCTTTAGGAATAACGCTTTCTGCTTTCCGTTATTTATTTCCCACAGACGGTGGTTATAGCCCACTCGGGTTGATTGGCCATTGCGGCGGGGAGGTTTGCGAAAATATTGGAGGTGTGGTTCCCGCAAATAGCACTTGGGTCCCACATCAACAACAACTCGGGTCCGCACGTGTGACATCGGCGTTCTCTCGCCTTCCCCTCCCCCCCAGGCAGAAACGGCGTCAACCCACAGGATATCATACAAACACTTTCAATGTGTGATCCAATATACTATACCGTAATCCTGCCCTAATACGGTCCCGCAAGGGACTATTTTTTTTTTTTTTGGTCGTGCCCATCCTAAGGCCCTCTGCACAGAACTATCCTGCAGGGTCCCGCCCCTGCTCCTTCCACACTTGTGCCGCCGGGAGTCTTCCTGTCCTTCCTCCCTTTCGGGGGTGATAAAACCTGCCATGTCCGCCGATTGCGTATAATAATCACCCAAACTCCTTCCCATCATCACCAAGATCCACAAGAATGGCACAGCGTAGAGATTCAATGGAAAATCTCCACCCAGCAAATATCCGCCCAATCTCATACTATGATCAGCGTCCAACCTCATACCATGATCAACGCCCCCCCCGGGTTATCGACCCTAGCTTCAGGTTGTCGGCCTTCGCCGGCAGAATCGGCGGGAACCAACAGTTCACGATTTCGCGCCAGGATCCCGAGTTCTACCAGATCAAGAGGGATAGACCTGACGCCACAACGGAGGGGACATGGGCGGAGTTGTGCGACCTGAGGGGGCTATTGAAGATGGAGATTTGGAAGTCTGGCTTCATCGAGTTCTGGGGTAAGTTTGCTGAGGGCTCTGCTCAATACTGCCGTGGGGTTTAGGAATTGCATTGCTAAAAGAACTACTCTGTAGGGTCATTGCTCAATGCCTTCGCTTCGGGCGCTGCTGGAATTTCTTTGGCTAAATATGGGTACCTATCCTCGCACCGGTGTACTGCTGGCCTACCTGCTAACCGTAGTTTTTCTCCTTTTTTTATTCTAGAAATAATTACTCCCCAATCACTATTGCAACGGCGGGAGCATTGTCGATATTGTTCACTCTGCCGCTGTTTATTCATGCTGCGGGCCCAGCTTCGGGGGGTCACATCAACTCGATGATCACCATCGCGACCTTCACCGCCAAGCTCGCTGCCCTACCTAGGGTGATCGTCTACGTTTTCATGCAGAACCTCGGCGGAGTCGTGGGTGGTTTTTTGCTGCGAGCTGGGCTCGGCGAAAGTGCCACTCTTGGGGTAAGTTGACCCGTGCCATCCTCTAGCCATCTTTCTCCTGACTTTTGTGTTTTCAGGCAGTCGTTCCGGGATGCTACTGGGCACCGGACACAGGGATAACGGACGGACAGGCATTCGTGATTGAGTTTGCCTCCTGCTGTATTGTGTTGTTTATAGCCTTCGGGGTTGGACTCGACCCCCGTCAAAGGGACATTTTCGGTCCTGCGCTAGGGCCCATGCTCATCGGTTTGGCCATCGCTATAATATCATTCATAACGGGTATCATGAGGCAAGGATATACTGGTGCTTGTGAGTAAATACGCGTTCTCTTAGCTGTGGAGGATGAAGCTTACAGATATACCCCTGTAGCTATGAACCCCTCCAGGTGCCTTGGCATCGTCTCCGCCACTCAAACCTTTAGGGGCCACTGGGTCACCTGGGCGGGAGCCATTGCAGCAGCTTGTCTCAATGGGCTACTCTATATTCTAGTTCCGCCCCATCATGCTGGACCGCCGCCCAAGGATGAGGAGCTGGCTGACTGCAAGCAAATATAGTTTTTCCCCGTGTCATAAGAGGAGGCATGAAGCACCAAACCCCTATTAAATTTGCTAGATTCTGCCCTGAGTAGACCTTCTAATCGGCCTCTTAACCCCCTGTGGGAAGGCACTGTTTTTGTGATATTTCCTATTTCCTAGTCGTGTTAGACTCCTTTTTTCTGCTTTTTTTTTCTTCCGTCATGTGACCTGGTTTCTGGACCCGCTACTGTTCATGATATGTCGCTTCCCAGTTGTTGAAGGGGATTGAACACATTTCGAGGGAATCTAACCATGTCATTACTGTTGGAGTTGTTGAAAATACTGGTAAATGGAAGTGAGTTGTCGTTGGTCACGGGGTGTTCGGGAATGCTGGAGGTTATTTCTTTTTGTTCCGGAGTTATAATGATCTGTGGAGATTTTTTTTTCTTTTTTCCCTTTATTATCATGGGCGTACGTGTGATCCATGGAAGGATCAGGATGATTTCATTTATGACTTACTCGCATGCCTGTCATTACCTTAGTTAGGGTGAGGTGCGGAGTGAGAGAGCGAAGTTCCTAACGATACCTTTTCCACTCTCCCTTCACACCGCTGCGTAATTTATCCTCCCCACATACCCGTCAAGAATTGCTGGGGTGTAAAAAAAAAACTCCTAGAATACAGTACAGTACTAGTTTTCTAAGATTGATCCAGCATCAAGTACTGTACAGTGAAATTAGTCGTCCGATTGTGGGTTGTGGCAGGGATAACTTTCCGAGGGAGCCGAGGCGAATAGAGGTCAGGTAATATATACCTTACGAGACACAGGTTCTAAATCCACGAAAAGGGATATTCTGGAATATAGCTCCATCGGAGGGACCGGGGGGTTGGGAAGGTAAGAACAACTTCACTGCCCGTACAATATGATTCTGCAATAGTCCGGGCATGCGTGGCATCAAGCCGGTGGAGGAGTCCAAAAGTACGTACTCCCCGTGGTGTGTAAATTAGCTCATACTGGATACGGAGCACCCGGGAAGCAGTATACGGGATTCGGTGGGCATTTCCGAGCGGTGGCCTGAGGTTTGCAATAAAGATTCACACCCAAGGTTGGATATTACTGTTAATTGATAATGGAGGGGAAAATGTGACCTGTCCGACTCGGGTAATATACCGTAACCAGGGCGATTCATGGGATGCATTCGTATGGCAGAATACCGTAAGAACTGGAATAATTGAACCTCGTGCTAGAACGTTCAGAATTCCCTCTCCTGGATAGGGGGCCGAGAGCACAGCGAAAACCGACTCCCCGAGCCCCTGCTTGAGATAAAAAAAGTAAAAAACACCGCACCATACCAGTACCTGGTAGAGGCAACACTGACGTCCTAGCTCCAGGTTCAATTATTCGAGTTCTTACGGTAGGTCGCTTTGGGCTTATAAGTGTGCCGTTATTGTAGTATTTTTCGGATATGTGCGTTGTGGCTGGGTTGTTCTCTCCCGACGTTCGAGACTGTGTCCGGTGCAGGCCTAGGTGTGTAACTTGGCAGTTATCCTAGCAAGAAATGCCAAGACGTGAAAACCATGGCTAGGGAGAAATCTGGGTCCAAGTCTAAATCGCAGGGAGGATAGCAGCTAGTATTTCTGCCCAGAGTCCTCGACCAGTTGGACAATTTGGGGAAGGTTGGGCCGCTTCGCACCCTGTCTTACTTGGAATGCTGGATCTCAAAGATTCCCAGAAGCCTTCCATGTCAGGCCGACGCTGTGATGTTTGGCATCTTTGGTAGAGATTAAGTCTCACTGCCGGATCCTCCAATGGAGTCCACTCTGATGACGGAAAGAAAGAAAAAGAAAAAAAAAAAGATCTCTGCTAACCGGCCCTTTTGTTCTTCCATGGGGTTCAAACAGTGCACCTCTCGTCCTGGCCCTGATGTCATTTGCTCTATTTTTCCCATGTACCTCACCTTTCATTACAGGATGTCGTTCCGGAGGCGGTTTCGATTCCTTCTCTCCGTGTCTAGTCGTGTTTCCCGCGGTCCAGGGGGTGTTGTAATTAGCGCATTCTCTATATTTTCTCTTTTTAGTTTGGATGTCTGGGTATTCCGGTATGTGGAAAATGCGGTCCTAAGAATGTACGGAGGATTTTTGCTCCCAAGGAGTTAGTGTAGCTGAATGGGACGGAAAGGAGGGCAAGAGTTTCCGAGTGGTTGAGGGTGAATGGTCTTCTTCGGTTATAATAGGGTGGTTGAGTGGCCCCGGGAAATTGAGCAAAGAGGCCACTATCGAATATCTTTCCCCATGTATTTCCTTCCTACTTATAGTTGAAATTCCTCAGGGGACGGGAACGGGAGGAATGATCGGGATGGGAGAATCGGCGGGCGGGGTTGAATGGATCTGACTCGCGCGGTACGTAGAGTACTAGGACAAAAGGGATCGTCTGATGTCCTTTTGGCACCAAAGGTGCCCATCTTCACCCTCTCTCATCACGCAATGTCTATGAGAACCTGTGCAAATTTGTCCATGCATTAGTAAACCTGTAGATAACATGAAAAATATCCCAGAATTCTTAAATATTATAGAGTGATGGAGAAAAGGTTGTTTAAGTTTCTAGTATCAGTTGCCATGTACTTTTTTGTGTGGAGCCCCATACAAAAATTTAGGTCACTTTTACGCTGGTTGAGAAAACCATGAACAATGAAGACAGCTTTGATTCTTTACACTTCTACTTGTAGAGGTTGGAATAGATGGTCATTTCCCTAGCTGATGAAATGTTTTGAAGTGCTTTCATATAGGCAGCGTTGGGAATCGCCCATTTAAAAATGTCCATTTTTGGTGTGAAAAGGGTATCGGACAAACCCTTTTGTCCCCGTACTGTACAATGCTGTGCATGGAAGGGACAGATGGCCCAGAAGAAGTCGAGAAGTTGGAGGGCTCTCATGCTGGCCAGCCCCCACAAAGATTCGCTAACTTGAGTTTAGTGGGGAAGACTATTTTTTCCGAGTGCAATGTAGTGTAGAGCCAACT